GGGGGGGGGGGGGGGGAACAGAATCTAAGAGGGCACATGGCAGTGTTGAATGGTTGGTTCATGAGTGGATAGGGGCACATGGCATGGCATGGCATCGCCACTTGGTCGATCAAACCCTTTGTCGCATTTCCATCGACATATCCACTTTAATCGTCTAATTCTTCAACTGCAAATGATATCCACATTCAAATGGGGTTTGTTTAAGAAAGAACACTAGCAATTCGAGCCCAATTCCATCACGGTCCGAACTCTATCTAATCTGTTTTTTAAGGGATGGCCCCGTGTCTTTTGGGCATCCATTTTTGTGAGACCAGCTCTGCCGAGCAACTACCGTCAAATCCAAACTTATATTTATTTCATTCTTCCTCATACACACCACAATTATTCAACAGCTTCTAATCATTTTGAACTCTTGCTTTAACCAATATTTAATTCCACCATGTGATTTGATATTGTCTACGGCATTTAAATTCATGGGAATCCATAAGCATCGGCTATAAACACTCGGATGAACTATCTATAAATAGCGCACCAAAAGAAAGGCAAAACACACCAAAAGTCCAATAACTCGACCCCACCACTTCGGTTAAGCCGTTGTATTGTTATTTGGATTTGCTCTCGGTGTTCAGAAACAAAAGAAGAAGAAGAAAGATTAAGGATGTGTGGAGCTGAAACAACCAACCATTCCACTGAATCCAATGGCTTCGGAGGCAACCTGTCGCTCATTGATCTTGATCCGTAACCTCCATTACACTCTTTCTCTCGGTCTTAATTAATCTCACATTTTGTTATTAAATTATTTCTGTTGGCGGTGACTGACAGTGGGAACCCAACCGTGTTCGAGCCCTACTGGAGGAGGATGGGAGACAAGTGCAGGGTCGTGATCCCAGGGTGTGAGCTGATGAGCTACAAAGCCGCCACCAAGCCCGGCAAAGTCTGCTGGTTTTTGTTGCCGGAATTGGAGGACGCCATCGTCAGATTGCATCGACTCGTCGGCAACGCCGTGGTCGATGACCGATATATCGTAGTGGGGACCGGTTCCACCCAGCTCTACCAGGCTGCCCTTTATGCTCTGTCTAACCCTGCCTCCCTCAAACCCATTAATGTCGTTTCTGCTGCTCCTTACTACTCGGTCAGAAACAGAACCTCCCCCACTTTTTATGCACTTTACACATCGCATCGCATCACATCACATATCTATTTCTTCTTCTTTTTCCCTTCGAATTTGTATTTGGATTTACATCATTTCACATCAGCTTGTTGGCGGAATGTAATGTAACTGAATGAATCGTTTACTTTCCTTGAGCAGTGTTATCCAGAAGAAACAGACTACTTGTGCTCGAGGCTTTACAAATGGGCGGGGGATGCTAATGAGTACAACGCTAATAAAAGTGGGCCATTCATAGAAGTGGTCAACTCCCCAAACAACCCAAATGGCAGTTTGCGCGAATCAGTGGTCAAGGATTGCGGCCAAGGCAAGCTCATCCATGACTTGGCCTATTACTGGCCCCAGTTCATGCCCATCAATCGTCCGGCCGATCATGATCTTATGTATTTCACTTTCTCCAAATGCACCGGACATGCTGGCTCCCGCATTGGGTGGGTGTTTATACTTTTTTATAATTACAATGGACTATGTGTCCCCAACAAGACAAGACGAGATCATTCAATTAATTCATCTGATCTCATATGTCTTTGTTTCTTTCTGTGTCTTTGAAGTTGGGCACTTGTTAAGGACAGAGAGGTGGCCATAAAAATGACAAAATATATAGAGCTCAACTCAATTGGGGTATCAAAAGACTCGCAATTCAGAACGGCAAAGATAATGGAATTGTTGTGCAATGAGCACAAAGAATTTGGGTTGAATTCCTCAAACAACTTCTTTGAGTATGGGAACCGTCTCATGGCCCAAAGATGGGAGAGTTTAAGAGAGGCAATTGGAAGCAGTGATCTCTTTAGTGTTCCTAGCTTTGAACGGCAATACTGCTTCTTCCTTGGACGTCCCACAAAACCATATCCCGGTAAGTATCTGAGCTAGATTTAAATTCAGCTTCTAATAATGTGTTAAAAGGATAAAGATGGTGACATAAAGCATGCTGTTAATGTGTGTTTGAACAGCTTTTGCTTGGTTGAAGTGCAATGAGGAGACTGAGGATTGTGGTAGCTTGCTAAGAAGGTATAACATATTGGGGAGAAATGGGAAGCGTTTTGGAGCTGATGCCAAGTATTTGAGAATAAGCATGCTTAGTAGCGATGATGTTTTTGAGGATTTCTTGGACAGGCTGAACGCCATCCGACTTTTTGAAGAGTGACTACTGAAATTCTCTGTCTTTCTGTTTTTCTTTTATGGGTTTGGTCCTAATTTGTATTTGCAACCCCCAGGGCGATGGGGAGGGCAATGCCTCTGTCGTCCATGTTTGGTGGTTTAGTTTATCATTCTTCTTATTTGGCAAACCAATCTATATTAATTCTATTATTTCTTAATTCTTGTAGTCAGTACTAATCAATCCACTTAATTTCATCTCATAACCTTCTCGTCCCAAATTAGGACCAACCAATCTTATAATTCCCAATTTTCTTTTTGACAAAATAATATAATATCTAATTTCATCTTTTTTATCTCTTAAGATTTTTCCAAGCATCCTCCAGGCAAATCTTGGTTCACAATTGAAACTGGATTCTAATAATAAGAGGCCTATGAGATGTCAAATTAACTTGAATATTCCGTATATAAGTGCAAACTAGAATAATGTGTATGCGAAAATAATATGGCCACCGCTGGGGGCTAATGGAAAGACATCTTAAGAAAGTATTCTGGACATTACCCTGAGAATTACAGCGCCAAATCACCTCCAATTTCGCCGACAATTTTCTCAACTCTGTTCAACATATCTAGCAACCACCAAGAATTTAAACCAACAGATCAGTATTTAATATTACAGTGTATTATATAAGAAAAAACAATTTACTTCTCGAATTGGAAATGTATTATTTGAAATTGCATCCCGTTAATAAAGAAAGCGCATTTCTAGAGATATTGCTATGGTCATGTAGAGAAATTCACAGCATTTTACAACCTTGGCATCTAATCTAATGAAGCTGACATGCATTTCAAAATTACATTACTGGCTGTTTTAACGTCATCTGATTGTTGAGACGTTGTTCGTGTGTTTTTTATTATTATTAATCTTTTAATTTTATTATTTTTGGAACAAATGTCGTGTATTATTGAGCTGACTGAAAAATATACAGGAGAAAAGCCTTAAAATAGGCCCAACACAGCTGATTTTGATAACGAGCCTTAACAGAAAACTAAGCCCAGCCCAAAAAGGAAAATAAATCAGATAAAACAAACAAAATGCGTATTCTGAAATTAGACCTCCAGAATGTGTTTCATTCCTAATTTCTGGCATTTTATGTTAGGTATCAATAATTTTGTTAAGATTTTCTGTTGGTCTTTCAGTCTGGGTCAAGATTTCACAGAACTAACTCTACCATCTTGAATCGACTAAAACAGTTCCTAAAATGCAGGGCATCATGGAAACTATTTGCAAGTTTAGCCAAGTGTTGATATAAACGTACCTTGAAAGGAAGAATCTTCCATACATTTCTGTCCCAAAAAAAAAAAAAAAAAAAAAAAAAAAAAACCCAACGATGATGATA